ACTCATGTAAGCCGAATAAAAACTTCTCTACATACCTTATACAACACCAAGTAATTCAATGTTGTGGTTGAACAAATTCTCCAGATTTGTGTGCATAAAGCCTCAAACAGAATTATTAAGCGTGCAGTTGAGTAAAATCGTCAAGAGGTCGTTTCTTCATCAGGCGATTGTTTGTTGGGATTTCAAGAAATTAATGGAATGAAAGATGTTGATACGGTTTTTGTTTTGTTTGGATTTTGTAAAGCCACAATTCTAAATTTAATGTAGATATATTTGGGTAAAAGACACTCACTTAAGTTCTTTCTTATAATGGTATACACTCATAATTGCTAAGTGGTGCGTTTTGCTTGCGGATTAACTACATACCAATATTATTTAGATTTAGATAAAATCCTAAGATAAACGTTCATTTTTATTATGCATGGGTAGGGTAATGTAAAATACTAAAATTAAACAATATGGGCACTCTTTTTTCGACAGTGAAAATCAAATGTCTTTGCATTAGCAACGATACTGACATAGAGGTAACTCTAAGACCAGAAGGTCCCGAAGAAACGTGCTCAACCTTTTGGCTCAGCTCTGGTATTATCTTCGGTCCCAAGCTAATCGATGCACCCCTCGAAACAAAAGAAATTCCACGAACCCCTCATTTTATCTGTCAAACTTTCATAGCGAATCAAAACAAACATAGTGTAGTACTAGTTTCGACTAGAATGGGGTACATTAATCGATTTACTTGGGACCAATAGGCTAGCCAAGTAGTGATCCAATTTAAAATCGTTTGTTTCCACCGGTTGGTACTAAGATAATCTCTAGCGTTCAGAATCATAAGGGCCTAACTGCGATGATCGATTCTCTCCATCGATTTTCTCTTTTGTTAATAACTCTGCTGGATTAACATTTCTCGGTGCGTCTGATTTTGCTTTTGCTTGCTAATAATTTCTGAAAAATTGGTTCACTGAACTGTGATAATGGGGGCCTCCCTTAGCTCAGTCGATAAAGGCGTAGCTACAAAGTAAGACCAACAGTCAATACGAAACTAACAATTTTAAATTGGCTCACTACTTGACTAGCCTATTGGTCCCAAGCAAACTATTAACGTATCCCATTCTAGTCGAAATTATAGTACTACGCAATGTTTGTTTTGATTTGCTATGAAAGTTTGACAGATAAAATGAGGGGTTATTGGTTTTTCCTACACACTAATCGAGTCAGTACGGTTTTACCGAGTTTTTGAATTGCGGAACTGTTCGGTAAAAGTTTAAAAATCTGTGGACAAATTATTTATGAGAAAATTTGTTCTGAACTTGTACATTCTTAGTTCTGTTAACCCCATTTAATGATAGAAAATAAAATTGGTCGATTTAATTGATTCCTTATGGATAACGGTCATTTGAATTTTTACCGATTTTTTCAGTAATTCAAAAACCCAGTAAAAAAATACTGACACCTGTAAAAAAATCTTAGTGTGTATGTTTCGAGGGGTGAATCGATTAGCTTGGGACCGAAGAGAGTACCAGAGCTGAGCCAAAAAGCTGAGCACGTTATTTCGGGACCTTCTAGTCTTAGAGTTACCTCTATGGTAAGACCATAGAGGTAACTCTAAGACTAGAAGGTCCCGAAATAACTTGTTCAACTTTTTGCCTCAGCTCTGGTACTATCTTCGGTCCCAAGCTAATCGATTCACCCCTCGAAACATAGGAAAATTTACGAACCCCTCATTTTATCTGTCAAACTTTTATAGCGAATCAAAACAAACATAGTGTAGTACTAGAATTTCGACTAGAATGGGATACGTTAATCGTTTGCTTGGGACCAATAGGGTAGTCAAGTAGTGAGCCAATTTAAAATCGTTAGTTTCGTATTGATTGTTGGTAAGACCACAGACAAACAGACATAACACATTGAATATTTCTCATTGTAAAACATCGTCGCTAAAACATTACCGCCATCTGTTGAGTACACTGTGGTGGGTAGTACGCTGAACAGATGGCGGTAGTGTGTAAACGTCAAACGCAAGGGAATTGACTATGTGCGCCACAAGTGGCAGTACTACCAACTGAGATACTTTTAAATTGACCGTTAAAGGCTTGTTCGATGAACAACTTGTGAGTGTTATGTCTGTTTGTCTGTGGTAAGACCATGCTGGAGGTGGCTGTGCTCGATTTCCGGTCTGGTCTAGAGGAATGTTTCGGGTTGGAAAATTTCTTGACTTCCCTGGGCATAGAGCAAAAAAATACTTGCCACACAATAATAATAATGCAAAAATGGTGCATGCATCGAAAGCTCTCAATTAATAACTGTGGATATGCATCTACACTCAAAAATATTACAAAACGAATAAAGATTAAATTTTATTTATTATGGTTAATCAAAATGTCAAAATTAAACTAAGTCCGATTATCGTAGTGGAATTCGATCAGTGTATACTAAAATGATAAACAATTACAAAATCAAACGCGACGGCGCTCGTAGTCGTTCGTAATCATTTTCTTGTTGCTATTATCTCGCGTTGGTGTCGTGCGGTTGGTGTTTTATATAAATGCAATTCAAATTATAATTGTTTGACTATTTCCAATCCTACTGATTTGGATAGCACGACTTGTGTGCCAGGATAGTAGAGTAGTAGTATTTTTAAAAATTATTATTAAAGACCATCGCTTGAAAGGAATTGATCGTTGCAGTATCCAGATCATTCTATATTCCCGGCGGTAGACCGTAATTTGCTCAATCGATGTTACCTCTAGTTCCCGAGAAAAGCTCGTGTAAAACATCCTGCTTCGCTTCTCATCCCCAGATATTACATTCCGAACGTGATCTTCATCAAAATCGAGTAATCCGATCTGGTGATCAATCCGATCGCCCACCGTCATGTCGTCAAATCAATCGAGGCCTATCCGAATGTTCCTTCAGGATACACCTCTGTATAAGGACAGCACTGCGAATGGAATATCGCTTCTGTGGACGCGTTCAACCTTCGCTCGGGACGTTGCCTCCCAGCGATGGATATCCCACTGGTCAAAATGTGGTTCTCACAGCATTTTTGACGAATCATCCGGTCAAGGTCAGAGTCTGCTAACATAACAGAAGCTGCTCAATGCATTGAAACACCGCAAGCTTTATCATATTGGTGGCGCTGTGTCGACAATACCACCAAATATGAGGACAGCGGGTTGGACTTATTGGGCTCGCATATGGTGAGAACGTGTCGGGATCTGGTGGAGAGCTTTGACTAACGAAAGTCTACTACGCATGTGATCAGCTAGACAGTTAGTTCTTTTTTAGTAAGACTGCGTTAGTACGAGTTTGCCCAAATGAACATTTCAAAACTGTACGTGTTTTTCATAATAATAAATATAAAAAAAAATAATTAAGGAACCTTCCTAACACAACATTAATTTTGATTTGAAAACAATAATATTAAACATGAAACAAAAAGGAAGCAGAAAATATATTCCCTAGAATAAACCATATGTATGCATTGCATGTATATTTCGATTTTATACTATTGCAGGGATAAACCATTTTTATACCAAGATTGCATTCTATCCCTTTATACCGACCTTTGCGTCGGTACGGAGAGTTGAGATTTAGCGTAACTTTTATACTATTTAGATTTCAATATTTTTTGAGTGTAGAACACTAACAAGCAATAAGCTGATATGCGAAGATGAAGAAGAAGAACCTATGATAATGCGACGAGAAAAAATCGATAAAGAGAATGTATCATCGCAGTTAGGCCCTTATGATTCTGAACGCTAGATGTATTCTCAAGATGGAATTTACTTTGGAGCATTTTCCAAAATTTCAAACCCTGTTCTTATCGACGAATCAATTCAGTTTGCAAAAAGCTGTCGTCACTTTATGTTCAAAGACAGGAGAATGATAATGACGCCTGTTGTAGTATTTTTGCAGTAAATTGCACCTTAAAATATAAGTACGTACACGGCCAATGTGACCGACCCGAATTTCAGTGTAACCTACTTATAATCACCAGAAGTGCAGGAGCTCATGAGTCAATTTGGCTTATGTTTTCCTATGGAAAACCTCAAAAATATGCCAGAAAATGAGGAATATTTACGAAAATTGTACTCAGTCTAGGAGTAGTACCAATAGACTGAGTGAATCCAATTTTGACTTTTCTCTTATTCGGGGTTTTTTCCTGGATAAACCTGGAAAAACATGAGGCAAATTTCCTTATCACTGCGTTCCTGCACTTTATGCGATTTATGAGTAAACTCATCTCAAATTTGGTCGTTCCTCATTGGCCGTGTATGATTCAGAGCTTCGAGGGCATCAAATAATGCTAATTCAAATCGTGAGCCACGAATTTGATGCATGACTGTTGGATGTAACTGCTGGTTTTATTGTTTTTGCAACGTATGATGGGAATGGGCCCCATATGCTGAAGTAGTGTTACACCCTATATTACTTTGTATCATATCAGTGCCAACATTTCAAAGGGGCGTAATTGCTTTTGTAAACAATGGCTTTAGCCGTCGATTGCTCGCAAATAAAAGCCCACCCCTCCAAATTACCAATGCTAGCTGGGACAGGAAACATTCCTCTACCTGCTGGTATCATTCATTTTCATGAGTGAGCTTTCATTCGCGAGAAATCGAAGACGAAAGTCATTGTTTACAAATGCAATTACGCCCCTTTGAAATGTTGGCACTGATATTATAATTATAATGTATTATGTATTGCTGTTTTTATATGTTTTCTGAATAATACACTGACTGTGTGACTGTAGCACTATTTTCCACTATCTTTCGCGATGCGAAACACTTGTTAACGTTTTCTTCATTTCCAACCCAGTGTAGCGGCCAAGTGATTATCTCGGAATCAGCCGCATCGGAACGTCCTTTATGCGGTATTGGTGGAAGCGATGGATAGCCAAGGGCCGTTGCACAGACAAACCTCAGCGTTTAATGAGTGCTGTTCTGTGTCGCTGTCTTCTCGGCCAACCGACTTGAATGCTATTGGATCGACTGGCTGCTATGCTGTTGCGTAGAGAAATGTGACATCTGCAACATGCCCATTAGCGACGGCCCAAGCAATACCAGATCAGCCGGAGCGTAAAAAAATACATAATTTCCACCACTCCCAGGACACTGAAGCCAAGGAATAAGCCGGCTGTTCCCCCGATGGAAACTGCCGGAAAATAAGACATTGTTGTTGTTGAAAGTGCACGGAGTATAGGGATAGAAAGGAAGAAAAATGACGAGTTAAAGGTTAGCGCATAATGGGAGGGAAATGGAAAGCAACCATTAGTTTCTGTCATCATTGACGTGTTTTCCATCACTAAACGAAAGCTCGTAATGAGGGTTGATAAAAATGGTAGATAAGAGGTAAACGGGTGCTTGAAATAGTATGAAGCGGAAGTTGTTTTGGTTTAGATTGAACATTGAAGTACCTACCCAATAGATCAGTGAATGTAAACAGCACTTGCCGGCTAAAGCGAATGAGGGGATATTTTTTCATCAGGATAAGACCTCCATTACTGCCAAGAAGCTTCCGAGTGCCAACGAGTATCTTGAAAATAGTGGGAACAAATAATAATGTTAATAAATTATTATCGTAATCAAAACCGTTGTGATCAGATTATAATTGTAATTTATGCATCCAATCAAATTAGGTCTACATTTGTTTGTTGCGGAAAACATAAAAAGCGTTGCTATTTTGATGCCTTTATTATTTTGTCAAGAAAGACCGAATGAAACAAATGCTCTTTTGTCTTGATAAGTTCAAGTTTCCTTTTTGTCAAATAGGACATTTGAGACTATGTTTGCCGAGAAAGAAAAGGCGGAGAAAGTTGAACCATGTATCAATCATCGGTCTACGTTGTGCAAAACAAGTGCACAAAAAAGCTATTGGTTGAGAAAGGAAAGAGTGATTCCTGAAACGAGATTTGTCACGCTTGAAATCATACAACATCTTAATGAAGCTTGTTATGTTAAGGGCAACCGAACTTTCCTCCAAAGAAAAATAATAAGTTATCGCAACCAAATAACTGAGGAATTCAATTACACGACCGCCGAGATGAAGGTTAAAACAAAAGTATGTAGGTAGGTAGCCGCAACTAACCTGAGTCTTCTCGATGATGACCTTCGAGTCCACGCAGTTTTGTTCACAGTAGCAGTTGATTGCATCATGGTCGCCGTGCTCTTCTCGGAGCTCAAGGAAAAGTTCCTTCAATGGAGGGAAACATACCTTCAGCGTGCGGTAGTCGCAGACTGGCTTCGGTGGCTTGACTGAAATCGATGAAATGAGACAATAAAGGGCGAACACGAAATTATTGCGACACATTCAACAGGCCATAACTTTTTTACCGTTGGGTAAAAATCAACCAAATTTTGCACACTTTCTCATTGATGTGACATGCTGTCAAACTCGAAGTCGTGTTTTTCGATTCAACGAAAATGGAGGTGAACCAACGCGAGTTGAGAGAACAAATTATTTCCAAACACCTGGAATTTCCTGACCTGTCGCACCGGCAGTTGGGAAAAATGTTGAACATTCACCATTCAACCGTCTCCAGAGTGTTGAAGTGGTTCCAGGAGCGGTTGACGTTGGACCACGGCAAAGGAGCTGGAAGAAAACCGGGACCGGAGAACAAAAAGACGGAGGGAAAGGTGAAGCGGATGATTAAAGCAAATCCCAACGTCTCAAGCCGTGATTTGGCTAAAAAGATCGGCATGTCGCAGAGCTACGTCCAGAATGCAAAGAAGAGAGCTGGACTACATACATACAAGGTACAGAACTTCCAAAACCGCGATGAGCGGCAACAATCGACAGCTAAAACTCGGGCACGGAAGCTCTACGAGAAGATGCTGACAAAATATGGCTGCTGTGTGATGGACGACGAAACGTATATAAAAGCCGATTTTAAGCAAATTCCGGGGTTGGAGTTTTTCACCGGCAAGAGCAAGTTCGATGTGGACGACAAATTTAAGAAGAAGAAAATGTCGAAGTTCACCTCCAAATATCTCATTTGGCAGGCCATCTGCTCTTGCGGACTGAGGAGTGAGCCTTTCGTGACAAAGGGCACAGTAAATGACGAGATCTACAAATCTGAGTGCCTCGAGAAGCGCCTTTTGCCGTTCTTGCAGCAGCACGACGAAGCTCCGCTATTTTGGCCGGATTTGGCATCATGCCACTATTCTAAAAGTGTCCTGGAGTGGTATGAGGCCAATTCTGTCCATTTTGTTCCAAAGGACATGAATCCGCCAAACTGTCCGGAGCTGCGCCCGGTGGAGCAGTACTGGGCAATAATGAAGCGGGAACTTCGGAAGAGCAAGAAGACAGTCAAAGACGAGAAGGACATGTTAAGAAAATGGAAAAAAAAACTGAGAAACTGGTACCGGATGACACTGTAAAGACTTTGATGGAGGGCATCAAGCGAAAATGCGTTCAATTTTACACTCAGGGCTCCATCGATTAACTTTTCTTTTGATTTTTGAAGTAAATATATGTATAAAACTACCCTAAAATTTTGGTTTGATTCTAAACATTATAAGAAAATTGGCATGACATTTTCGGTGTCGCAATAATTTCGTGTTCGCCCTTTAACTTTAATACGCCGGGCTCTCACGAAGCACAAAACACCCATGCAAACTAACTATAGTACTTGTTCGTTAACTGGGCTAAAAGCACAATCCAGTTAGCAAATGCCACTCGCTATCTGGGCTGGCTTATCAAACGTCAAAAAACAATGAGGGATACTGAAATGGATTGTTTGGTAGGCGTTAAAAAAATTCACATGCATTTATTGAAACAGTGTAAAGCTTGTTATTGCTATTTTCACAGCATTCATACTCGCGAATTTAAAAAGGCTTAACGTTTTCAAGTCTAAATTTCAGTGTGAAATGAAAATATTTTCAAATTTATTTATATTAAAACTTAAATTTCCATTTGAATGCCCCTCACCAATTATGACAACGGAATGTCAAACTAAATGTGACGCCTTTTGTTGACGTATAACTGCCCAGGTGTGGGAGCTGCCGGTAGCATTGGTGCTCGACGGAAAACAAATCAAGGAAAAAAAGCCTTGTTTAAACAATCGAGTCTTTCCATTGTCGTGCAGTTTTCCTTGTGTTGATGCTTTTAATCTAATAAATTGAGAAGTCTGATTTTTACCGAACAGTTCAGCTGTTGAAAGTGGGTATGTGTGTAATAAATACATTTTCTAATATCTGTGTGGTACGTTCCTCGTTAGAATCATGAAAACAACAACTTAAGAAACAACCATTCCTTCCCAACAAACATTGAAAGCGGAATAAAAGCTTATTCAGGCAAAAATATGCTTCTTCAGCTAAAAAATAGCTTATTCAGCCCTTAAACAGCACAAATGGTTTGTTGGATTGTCTTCCGTTTTTATTGTCGGGTAAATTTTCCAGCAGTTGAATAACACTAGTTTACAGCATATTTGAACTTTGTACGCTGATGGTCATTTCCCATGTAAAATCGAGCGCTGAATCCAAAAATGTAGTCTAAAAGAACTCAGTAGGATAGTTTTCGAGATATAGTTAAAATGGAAATTACACTTTAAAAAAATGTGTGAAAAGCTATATCAATTATTTTAACTTCTAATTAAAGGTGATAAAATTTGCTTACGATCGTTAGAACATCATTTTCAGGGAGATTAGTGGTACAACCACTACAAACATTTTTATTTACACTGCCTTAAAACTTATCAGAAATTATTTTTTTCTTAGAAAAATGAAAAATATAAAAAAAATAACAATAAACAAACTATTATCAACAACAAACCACTAATATCTCTGGCAATTGATCGAAAGAAAATTCTCTTACCTTTAATTTGGCGTTAAAATAATTGATATAGTCTCATTACAAACGGAGATATTTGTATTTTCGTAAACACATCCTTCCTTTTTTGACTACATTGTTGGATTCAGCGCTCGATTTTACATAATAATCATTGGTCAAAGATTCAAGGTCATCTTTTTACTTTTATTTGTAAACTAGTGTAATCGTTTAGTAAATGTTTAATAGTGTCTAATTAAACGTTACTTGACCTTCATCAAAGCGTATACAACATCGCTGTTTCAGGAAGCAATGATGTCTAATAAACGCTGAATAATTAATCGTTTGATCGATAAGCTCTGTTACAACTCATGTAATTAATTCGGCTTCTTGATACACCTTATACAACACAAAGTAGATCAATGTTGTTGTTCAATAGATTCTCCAGACGTGTGTGAACAAAGTCTGAACAGAAGTTATAATTAAAAATAGTACAAGTATTATTGAGCATGCAGTTTAATAAAATCGTAAGAAATCGTTTCTTCAATAAGCGATTGTTTGTTGGGCTTAGATAGATCTTAATCCCATATTTATTTACATGTCTACTCAGCCGATATTCAGCTATTTAAGCTGAGCATGAAGTTAAAATGCGCTTAATCAACTTTTTCCCAACTACTAAATAATAACTTTACAGCTTTGTCGCATAGTAGAGTTAAATATTGTGTTAGAAACTTACCGGATTAATATTATTCTGAACGTTTGTCATCGCCGGATTTAATTAAACACATAATTTACTAGCACCGGGACCTGGACTCGACCTTATGGCGACCGCAATGGAAAACGTCGACGCTACCAACTTGGCTAAACCAACACTTAAAATTTATCTAGAAATTATTATTATTATTATTATTATTATTTGATATAATTCATTTGACACTTCTTTGTCTTAATGAATAACATAATGTAGGGTTCATACAAATAAACATAAATAAAATTACACAAATTTAGTCAAGTATTACGAAAATGGTCAGTAAACCGTCGTTGCAGCGTGGACACCGGTACGTTTAAGTCGAATAAATGAAAAACTTCATCAAAGGTAGCTGACATAAATCTAACCGGATCATGCTGTCCATATAGGGTATTGCGGGGTTCAAACTGTAGGAAATTTCGTCGTCGTAGTAAACGTTCAGGGGCGTAGATATTCATTCTTGCTAGTAAGGATGGTGAATCAATGTCATTCCTGAGGATTTTAACGACGAACATCGCTTGAGCAACTTGACGTCTATTTTTCAGCGTTTCTATTCCGAGTAGTTGACAACGATCCTGGTATGGTGTCAGATGCTGAGGATGACGCCATGGAAGGTTCCTGAAAGCATAACGTACAAACTTCCTCTGTACAGATTCGATTCGTGTAATCCAACTATCGTGATAAGGACACCAAACGATTGCTCCAAATTCCAGAATTGACCGTACTAGAGCACAGTACAATGACCTCAAACAGAAAACATCACGAAATCCACTAGCAATTTTCATAATGAATCCAAGCTGCCTGTTTGATCTAGAGATGATGTCATCATAGTGGAACCGGAAAGTGAGTTCTTGATCGAGACTAACTCCCAAGTCTCGAATACGTTGTACCCGCGCTAGAGGTTGCCCGGATAACGAATATGGATATACGATTGGCTTGAACTTTCTGCTGAACGTGATTACCTGACATTTCTCGATGCTGAGAGTCATACAGTTCCTTGTGCACCAGTTTTCGAAGGAATTCAAGATATTCTGCAGTTCGAGACAGTCTTCAAAGCTGTTTACAATGACGTAGACTTTAGCATCATCAGCATAGAAAAGTCGCACTCCCGGTGGCAGAATCAGTGACACATCGTTGATAAACAAGGAGAACAACAGTGGTCCCAGGTTGCTCTCTTGTGGTACGCCAGATTGATTAACGAACATCTCCGATTGACTTGAACCGATTTTTACACACAAGGATCTGTTGGTTAGGTACGACCTGAACCAATCCACTGAAGCAGACGTTACACCAATCTTCTCCAGCTTCTTCAGAAGGATGTTATGATCAACCCGATCGAAAGCAGCCTTCAGGTCCATGTAGACAGCGTCCACCTGCTTCCCAGAATCGACTGCTTGAATGCACAGAGAGGTAAATTCAGCAAGGTTTGTAGCAACCGACCTTTTTGGATAGAATCCATGCTGATCAACCGAAATGTAATGTTTAGAGCGGGCAAAAAGAACGTCGTTCACGATGATTTCAAATACCTTTGAACATGCACACAAGGAGGTTATGCCACGGTAATTGCTGACATCTCGTTTATCCCCCTTTTTGAAAACTGGAAACAAGAATGATGACTTCCAATTCGAGGGAAACACTCCTTGTTGAAACGAAAGGTTGAAGAGTTTCATCAAAGGTTGACATAGCGCAGAAGTACATCTTTTCAGCATCGCTGAAGGAATTCCGTCAGGTGCAACAAAT